AAGAATGGACCTGAGGTTATCCCGTTGTAGATACAAGATATTCTGTATCTGAAAAAGAGTTTCTTCAAAGGCAAAATTAAAAGCCCAAAGGATGTTGTCAAATGCCAAACAAAAACAACTCACAGAAACAGTACTGAGCTATCGTTGAAGAATTGGCAAGACTGACCAGTTGGATTTCAGACTGGCTACAGGGCATTGACTACTGGATTTTCATGTTATTTTCTATTCTTCGATACGAGTGGCTATTACAATCATATTCTAACGTTATATTGCCTGTGGGCTGGGGGATATGGAAAAACAAATTACTTGGTTTTCATCAAAACAGGTCTTCAGGGAGAGAGAAGATATGCCCAAGAAACCAATCTGAGTGACCTTGTCTGCATGTGGATCTCAGCCTGCTTGTAAAACTACACATCTCAAATATAAGCATGATGCTATTAACAAGATGCCCATTATATATTTTTGTGAACTAGGTGTAAATAATTTGTGAACAGAGAGTAGACTGTTAATGTTAAAACAAGACCAAAAAAAAATTAATATACCTTCTTTCAAGAGCTGGCAGGTATGCATGCCTCTGTTGAGCCTGGATTATCATTAGTAAGTCATTTATAAAAAAAATATTATGCACAGAAACAATAAAGTTTGACCTCAGAAACAGCCCCATACAGCTTTCATATATCTATTCAGGGTGCTTACTTTTGTCCTGGCTAATTTTGTGTCAACTGTGACACAGGGCTAGAGTCATCTGAGAGGGAGGAACCACATTTGAGAACATGCCTCCATCAGATTGGGCTAGAGAAAAGCCTGTGAACATTTTCTTGATTAGTGATTGGTATGGAAGAGTCTAGCATTGATAAAGATGGTAGTACCACCTGAACTGGTGGTCCTGGGTTCTATAAGAAAGCAGAGTGAGCAAATATGAGGGGGTAGCCAGTAAGTAATAGTCCTCCACGTCTTCTGCTTGAGTTCTTGCCTGTGGGTTCCTGTCCAATTTGAGTTCCTGCCTTGGCTTCCCCCAATAGACTATAACTCTGGATACATAATCCAAATAACCCTTTTCTTTCCCAAGTTACTTTGGTCATAGCACTCCATCACAACACTAGAAGTCCTAACTAAAATAGTATTATAAATTACCATGTAAGAAATTGAATCTCCTTAATGCTGCCATATTTTTAAGCAAGTCTGGGCCATACAGACACCACACACAAATGCCATGGCCCATAGCTCCAGCCGATGTCTCGGGAGACAAATAATAAACCTCCAAACAAATACCAGCCCAGGTGATTCTGGCCCTGGCTATAAGAGGCCAGTCATCATGTAGTCCCATCTGAGAGCCAGACAATACTGAGCAAAGACAAATTGCTCCCACCGTGTCCTCCGGCTCTGTACCACAGAAGGTTTCAATATAATAAAATGGTGGTATTAGGGAAATCCGTCTTCGAGTAGCTTGTTTTGCCAATACAGGAATGAAAACGACACAGTAAGGGGAGAAGTCATAAACTTTCAGTTTCCAAACAAGAAAACTAGAAAAGGGAGACATTACAGAATGAATTAAGGTCATGGAGAAGTGGAGCAAGAATTCAGGAGCAGATATATCTGATGATAAAACCCCATCTGTAGTCATCCTACTCCACTAATTTCCATACAGACTTCCTAACCTCTATATCTTCTCCTGATAATATTTTCCCAACCAAGCACAGCACACACATATCTTCTTCCCTAAGACCAAATCATCATTCAGGGTCTTACTCCATTCCTTCATGAGACATATCCCTATACTGCAATTGTTAGCAATTTCTCTGTCTTCTAGTGGTCTTGATATTGTTTTCCTCCTACTGGACAATTAATGAATACTAGTGATATTAATTCATATTAGTGAATGTGTCGTTCTCCTTAGGTGCAGTGCCTGATTAAAGGTAAAATCTAATCGTATACAGGATTGCACCAGGTAACATACAACTGTGAGAACAAAAGAACAAAACTGAATTTGCCTTGAGAAGTCAATGGCAAATGTAAGTTAACTGCTTATTACCTGACTTAGGCTTAAATCACCATCTTACACACTACACGTGTGAACAGCGATGCTTCTCATTAGAACACGAGATCCCTAGAAGCAGCTAAGGCTTTGCTTATTTTCTGCTGGATGACCACAGTGTACAAAAGTATCAGATATCCAGTCCATAAATGTCTGGTGAAGGACTAATTGAATGATCAAGTACTACCGAATACAGATGTGAGTCAAATGATCAAAGCTCATTTGGTTCTTCAAGAGAAGCCAGAGTTATTTTTATCTGCAATCTTTCGATTTGAAAACATTAACAACTATGTAGAAAAAAATGGTCAGCTGTTGTAGGAATGGGTAAACAATGCATTTGCAGGCTAGGATTAAATATGTAATTTACATTAGCAACCCCTGTACAGGGGGATCTTAGATTCGTCTTTGTAATTATTTCAACCCATGTTTTGCAAAGTTTAGGCAGTTCTCAATGCAGATAATAACGGTGATGAGACTGGGTCAAGAGCAGTGTAAGGTTCAGTTCCTTGTTATTAATTTGCTTCTCAAGTTCCTTCTTCACAGCTCAAACAAAACTCCTGCAGCTTCTGAGCTGAAATGACCACCCGGACCTCACCTGACCATCCCACAGCCTAGATTCTAAAGTGAAATCTCTTCTCAATCCAGCTGCTAAGGGCTGAGAAATGCCATTCCCATGCGCCCCCCCCCCCAGTAATAAAGGGGAAAGTCAGTGAGAAGAAAACAGATTGGATTTCAAAGGGGTGACAGAAAAAGAGAGTGGAGTTTCAAACCATATTTCCACAGTTGATAAACAAGGGCTCCCTGTGGCCATTCTGTTTTCCTTTTTTTACTGATTGTGGTATTTTTAGATTATACAGTCTGAAGTTCTCTTTCAGCTGACCTTTCTGTGTTCTCTGCCACCATGTTTTATCTCTTCCACATTGAAATTACGAAGTATAAATGTTAAAATGTTTGCTGATAACTCAGAGATTCTTAAGAAGAAAAAGTCGCATCTAAAAATACTAGAATGGTTTTACAAACACCTCACAGCAGCAAGCATAACTACGTAGGGCTGAGGATACTCTTAAGGTCCTCAAAAGAAAATATACTAGGCAGAAGCATTTCTAGGGTACTTGATGCTAGCTGAGGCACTGAGAGTCAGCCATCAACTTTTGAAGACACAAGAGGAAATGAGTTGTCTTCATGTTCCTTTTCTGTGTATGGTCCAATGAGTACAGCCTTGAAATGTCCCTAGCAGGAATCAACAAGCATCAGCGGAATTTGACATTTCAAATTATTATAAGCCCAAAAGACTAAAATGCCAGCTAGGTCTCTACACTCAGCATTAAGGGTATTATTTTAATGATTACACAGATGAATTCACTCTGTAGTTTTTCTATAATGGCATTAATTTTGTATGCAAGCAGATTTTATTTTTTTAAGCAGGCTCCACGGTGATTTAAATTAAAAGGAACAGTGAGAAAAAAAAATTCTGTAGCCAAAACTATTTTTCAAAACCCAGGTTATTATAGAACTATGAATCCCCACAGATTAAGAACAGAACTTTCTATTCACTTATTGTGTTATGTTCAAGGAAAATGGAATATAGGAGCTATGTGACGGAGAAGACCACAAGATAAATTATCTCAAAGACATGCAGGTAAAATGGTAAAAGACATTCCCCAGATACAGGAGAGAAAGCCTAAGCCTTAGGGACAAAATAGGAGATTTGACTTGTGGATTTTTACCCTGGAAAGGCTACTTACTCTATTTAAACCCCAACTACTCATGTGGGTAAAGGATAACTATAATGCTTTTATAATTAATGTGAAATTTAAAATAAATGCATAGTTATTGTGAAGGAAATTGAAATGAGAAAGAAATCGCTCATTTGACATCCTTAGTCTAACATGGCACAACCCAACAGAAAAGTGCCTAGAACTTGCTGATGTCACGAAGGAGGGCAGCAAGGTAAGCCACTAGATCTTTGTCATAAATTTAATACAGACAATCCCTGCAGTACCTCACACTGTCTAAGAAGAGTAAATGACATAATTATACAATATAGGTTAATAGCCATGCTATAAAGTTTCTTGGATTTTAAAGTATACTAAGTATTATAACAGAATATAAGCATATACAGTGTGGTGGTTTGAATGCAAATGTCCCCCATAGTCTCATAGGAAGTGGTACTATTAGTAGGTGCAGCTCTTGTTGGAGAAAGTGTGTCGTAGGGGATGGGCTTGAGGTTTCAGATGTTCAAGCCAGGCCCAGTGTCACTACCTGATGCCTACTGATCCAGGTGTAGAACTTGTGGCTCCTTCTCCAGCACCAGGTCTGCCTGAGTGCTGCCATGCTTCCTGCCAAGACAGTAATGGACTAAACCTCTAAAACTGTAAGCTGGCTCCAACTAAATAATTTCTTTATTAAGAGTTGCCATGGTCATGGCATCCCTTCACAACAACAGAAACCCTAACTAAGGCATATAGTAACTGTACAATAATTTTCACGAAAACATAAATGCCAAGTGGGTTCCTGATGGAGAGAGTAAAGTAATGAGACCATGGATAACTGTTGAGAGGCTTCAGTTCTGCTAAATATGGTTTTCTTTCTCTTCAGATATGGCTACTAAGTATGTGGAGTTCATTGTATCATTTGTCACATTTTCTACATATTTGAAAGAAAACATTAATAGAAAGAAGCCATAGGAATCAATCAATTTTCTTGAAAAGGCAAGAATTTCTTTAGGCCTGGGGTGGAGATAAAGAAAACCATAGCGCACGAAAGTAGAGGATAAAGATGGTTAGAGGAATAGAAAATGGAGTGTAGCCGAGTTTGGAAATGAGGATTGCATTTAACCTCTAATAGCTAAAGACTTGGGCTTGTCAGCTGTGAGGACCCTACAAGAGATGACTGTTATCCCAGAAGTCAAGTTACTTTACAGGGTGTACAGTATCCAAAGCATCATTAGGCTGAAAATACTTACTACAACCCCACTCTTGGTGGTAGTTTCTCTGTATGTGAAGTTGCAAATCGCCCAGGCTAAATAATATGTGGACATGAGGGGGGTCTGGGAAAAGTGGTCTGTTACCCATCCGTCTTCCTCAAACACAGATGTCTCCACTGGCATGTTGGATAGAGACAAATAGGTTGCTTGGTGTTTGATGCTGATTTTGAAAGTGGCTTTGTAGATTGGTTCATCAAAACACGGAAATGCCTTCCTGGCATGTGTAGGTGAAAACTGGGTAACACCAAGGAATCTGGAAAGAAAAAAAGGAGAAAATGACATGTCAATTACATGTATTGCTTCTGTTTAAGTAAGGGCCTCATTGCATACTTCAGAGAGTATGTTTTGACGAATCTGAAAATACACATTTTTTTTCTGAATTGTGCCTTCATTCATGAATAACATTTAAAAATGTATAATATACTGCCCTAAAAATAGAAGTTCTTCAGGGAAGTTTTTGTCTCGATTAAAGAAAACTCGATAAACCCAGAGCAGTACTTATTGGCTGAAACACTACACTCTACAGAGAAACAACTCACAGGTACATTGGCAAACATTGAGAAATAATGGCTCTTTTATTGTGTATATCACATTCCTCCCCGAAGCCTAAGGCATCCAGCATATACAGATAATAAAACTGAAATCTAAACGCTGTCCTCAAATGGCAGGGAACCCTCATGGACCCTCACTGGGAAATATCTATATCCTCAAAATTGAAAGCACGCCATCTACCTATGGTAAAATAAATGGCTTTGCCATCTATTAAATCTTAGTGTGAATTCTGGCTTCAAAGCTCCTTTTACCCACACCAACTTTGATAATTCTAAAACTTCCCCCAAATAAGGAAGTACTCAAGTCTAACTTCAAAAGTATCGTAAAGCTCCAACGGAGGATAAGAGGGTGTAAAGCCCCATCACTGTGAACAGCTGCCACAGGCAGGCAAAGAGCAGCTCTCACTGGTTCATAAAATCTTCATCCTTTCAAGTCTTCATAATTTACATTTGCAACACACAGTCTAGAGATTGATGGGTTTTAGGGAAATGGTTCATCTTACACATGGCTTCGTTTTGTTTGGGTTCATTTGTTTTGTTGGTTCTCTTCAGGGGGGAGGGGGGAGCTTATGTTACCTACATCAACTGAAGTCCAGAAATATTACCATAGCTTGATAGAACTTGAGATACGTGATCAGGTGAGACTACCTATATACACTTTTTATTACAGTATAGTATTGGAATGGTTTATTTTATTGCTAGCTGTTAATCTCCTAGTATTTCTAACATAGAAATTAAATTTTATCATAGATATGTACACATTGGAACAAATGTAGTATATACAGTGTTCAGGACTAGCCATTACTTCAGGCAGTCACTGAGGGTCTTAGAATGTACTCCCCACATGTAATGGGAAACTATTATGATACGCACACACAAATGTACAAACATATTTAACATAAGTATATAAAAACTGTGCAATATATAAAGTAAAAAAGCACATATGCATCAAATACAAGTTTTCTGTTAAAGCTATATTTCATTAACACTAATTGGAAGACACTTCTACATGCTTTCATGGTCTACAGGTACAAATGGAGACACTCAAGTACCTTAAGCACATTCTTATAATTAAGAAATAGTATAATAAACGCTGAAGAGTTTGGCTGTAAGATTTTCTGTAATGTAAGTCAGCACCTGACACTTCATAGGACATTAATAAGTTCTCATGTTGATTCATTCAAAGGTTCTTCCTTCTATAAGTAGGTGTTCACCATGCCCCTCGCTATAGCTCAGGGTATATGTGGCTAATATTACATGATATACTTTCTTACAGAACACAAACGTGGCTTTACAATTGATTCTCAGGATATGATACAGGAAGATGTTAGCCGTCACTACATGTAAACGTGCATCTTGAATTTGATTTGCTGTCCAATCTCTGTATGTTGACATATCTCTCAGATCTTGTTGGCTATCTCTTGGTAAACCATGAGGTATAAATATTACCGTTTTTTAAAAGTACGGAGTCCAAACTTACTACAATTTATACACATTAAAGTTTCATTTTTGAGATGAAGCAAAGGAAGAGTTTTAAAAATTGATTTTTTGGGAAGGGTTAAAAATGTCTTTCAAATAACACCAGGATCATATATACCAGACCTGGCTAAGTCATTTAACTGCCTGAACTTATTTTTTTTTTCATTAGTAAAAAGAAAATATTGTTTTCTTGGCCTTTCTCACTAAACTGCCAAAATGATAAAATGTAATAATATGTGGGAAAGAAGTTTTAGTTATAAATCTTCATACAAACAAAAGATTAAAGGTGGGAGAAATATGAGAAATAAATTATCCCAGTCCTATAAATTGCTAAAATAAAAATGTATACCCAGTAAGGTTTGTCCACAGACACACAGGCAATTATACCAAAGCTGGACCTAGAATTCACAGTCTCTAACCAAATAAAAACTAAATATGTTCTAAAGGTAATAAAATTAATTTTTAGCTGATAAAAATGGTTTAACTCAACTCTAGGTAATAGTTAATATTCCTTGAAAATTTAGCGGTATCATGATCCTTTTCTGGGTATTTTCTGCTGATAGTAATGCAATTTTACATAATGAAATGCCAGCACTTTCGTGTTAAAATGCACACACTCTTCTCATACTTTATATCACATAATGCTTGGGAATCTTATCTTTCAACTTATTAATTAAAAAAGGAAAAAAAAATGCAGGGCTTAGTTTTTCTCTCCTGGGGCTATTTCAAAGATACCATGGAATTGCATACCTGAGGAAAAAAATACTTCTTTTTGAATCCAAGTTTGTGAGAATTTCAGTTTCAATCATTGAATAAATAGATATACTCTGCTGTGTAAAGCTTCTCACTGTATTGGGTACTTGGGCTGTTTTTAAGATGATGCAGTCATTTGTTCATAAAGTCTTTATAATCAAATTAAATGTGTGTGTGCAAGCACAGGCACATACACACACGAGGTGAGGAGAGGAAGAGAGGGAGAACTGACAGTAGCAGAAAACCAATTCTGTAAGAGTTCATCATCGAGGACGTTATAATGAAAATGTATTCATTTTCATTAAAAGAAAAGATGTCTTTGACATTAAGTAAATAAAAGGCAGGAATTTATGAGAGGTAAAGATCTAAATACATCTTGGTCCATAAGAAATTAATTAGCCAGATATTTATGCATAGGAAATACATTGTGCAGTCTCTTTTTGCCTTACTTGGTCAATATTGATAGGGATGGTAGCAGTTTAAGACAGGGTTGAAAAGAGCTATCAAGATCATCCAGTGGCTTTTTCTGCAATTAATATTCTTAATGAATTCATACACGCAGTATATATCTATGCAAGGAGGGCTTCCATATATTCTGATAATGTCTAAATGAGGAAATACCAATTTCACAGTCTGGCACCTGAGGATGACTGCAATTGAATTTTAATTCAGTATTTAGAAAAATCAAAAGAGGTCTCCTTGGTAAGGAAAAGCAACTAGACTGGGTTGCATTTAAAGGCTTTTCTAAGTTCGAGATCTCATAACTAGACAATTAGAAATTAAATACTCCCCAAATATGGAGTTTTCATTTTAAAAAAAAAAAAAACGTTAAATCACACTGCCAGTAAATAGATGCTGCACGTTCTTCAAAGTATTGGCTCCTCTCAACCAATTCAATCTTGAGTGTCAAAGTTTGGGAGAAAAATAGAAATATATATGGTTTTTATTTTCCCTATAAGGAGTGTAAACTATGACACTATAACCAAATACAAGCCTAAACAGATATTATACCAAAACCTAAGGCAAACAAGGAGAACGCATGAAGTTGTGTCTGCTTAGGCAGAGCTTCTTGGCCTTGACATTACTGGCGTTTTAGATTGCGTAATCATTCATTGTGTGAAGCAATTTGCCTTCCCACTACAGCCAGTAGAATCTTCTGTCCCGGGTTCAGAGGACCAAAACTCTGAACACCGTAGCTTTCCTCTGGAGTAAAGATGTGTCAGGTGGGAACGTAGAGCCCCAATAACTCAAAGGCTTCCTGGATAAGGGAGCATGAGGATTGTTCTGGAAACTTGGATGGAAGTTTAAAGAAGTGAGTAGACTATGAGCAGACCGTAGTGAACACAGAAAACACCCTTTTAGAAAGAGTTTCATACACACACACACACACACAGACACAGACACACGGAGCTGCTTCTGTTCAGCAGGCTCTAGTCCTATGGAGCTTCAGTGTCTGCCTCTCACTGGCCTCACCCTGATACTTCTCTTAACAGTCAGGACCAGGTTCAGGGAGATGCCCGCAACAGAGAGCAGTACCACTAGGATTTTAGAAACGTAATTTCATCTCTTCTGCGTGCATTTCATGATCATCTTCGATTGGGAGAAAAAGAGATGTCTTTTTTGTTTTCTGTCATTTGAAACATCAAAGAGGCTTCTAGAAAGGGTTAGTCCAAAAAAAGAAAATAAGGAATTTTGGTGCCTGAGTTAATTTGAGGTGGGTTTAAGGTAGTGGCAGAATGTCAAATATGAGAAACACAAGAAATTAATTAACATATAAAACCACTTTTAAAAAACAGCATGGATAGGAGACACACACACACACACTAACACAAACACACATACACTTACACATACATACATACACATACACACAGAGACATATACACACAAATGTGCGTATAAAAACAACCAAAAGAAATACAAAAGATAACAGGGACAAGTGTCTCATTGTCTATTTTCCTCTTGATCTCTGTTTTTTTTTTTAAAAAAAATGTCATTTTTATCTTGTAATGAATCTGCTTATTAGCATAAAAAATGCCACTCGCCAAGGTGATTGTCTAGAAGTGTCATTCCAAGAATGTCACTTTAGCGTAACTAGAAAAAAAAAATGTAAGCAACATGCATATATTTTAATTCTCGTCTACCTAAAACAAATTATTTGATTTTTCCCAACAATTTGCCTATTTGACGTTGTGACATAAGAGGGAGGGCTCGAATCTCTGCATTGCCTCTGAAGGGTACCAAGAATTGATTTCTCATTCCTGCAGAAGTTCGCCAGGCAAGTTACTTGCATCAAGTCATTATAATAACATTTAGCAGAAGTAATACATTAACGTTGGCTGATATTGCCAACGAATTACAGTATGTGATACAAAACAGTTTCTGCTCCATTATTTTCAGTTTGCCTTTTTGTTCCATAAAGGTAAAAATATGCAGAGAACGCCAAGCATTTGCATAACACTTAGCATGA